GACCTGAGTTCCCATTCCTGATTTGCATCTTTTACTCCTTACTCCCCATGTAACCGTGGCAGGGGTGGTCAGACCCTCTGAGTTATAGTTTTCTCCCAGGATAAAAGGAATTTTCTCCCAGGTAATGTTAGAACTGAGAGGGATTATTTAGTCAATTTTCCTCATTTTACAGAGAAACAAATAAATACCAATAGCAGTGGTAATGAGAATAATAAGAGCTAAGAGCTTCAAGCATTTAGTAGGTGCTAGGCACTATTCTAAGCTCTTTACAGATATTATTCTATTTTCATAACAACCTCATTTGGTAGTAATATTTTTACTCCCATTTTATAGATAGGGAAACTGAGGTGTGGAGAGGTTTAGTATCCAAGGTGATAAAGCTGGTAGATGGTAGAGCTGGGTTTCAAACCCAGATAGCTTGGCTCCAGAGGTAATACTCTAATAAGCAGCAGAGTCCCCCTTTACCCTCTTTTGTTCAGAGTGCACCCAATTTCAGGAAAGGGGTACACTGCCTGCATTAGTGCTACACATGGTCCTCAAGTTTCCTTCAGCCAGATTTTCACAGGTGTGCTGCAGTCCTCCTGGGGTGCCCTGCTCTACATGGTACCCTTCCCAAAGTCACTAGCACTTGCACACCTTTTGTTAGCAATATGGATCACAACTGCTTCCCTGAGCAGAAATAAACTGCAGAAAGAGAGATGGTGGTAGAACAAACACTACCATTGCAATGGAGACACTCAACTCCAGATAAGTGTGGTAGAGCTCATTGATAAGACTGGCTGCAGAGTGGGACACCGATGCTCATTGGTGGAGAGAAGATACCAGTTTGCCACATCAGCTTTCATTAGCTAATATCACCTAGTGCCTGGGAAAAATATATTAATAGTATGTGGTAATGGACTATTGCTCAAAGGACAGTAGCATAAATATCAAATTATTGCTATGTGGAGAAGTGTCAAATAGGCTTATGTATCCTAAGCTCTAAAAAGTTTGATGGTCTGTAAGGACAGCTGGACAAGGCTGTTCAGGAAAACTCTCCTGTGTTTTCCTCGATCACACTCACAACACTTCTTAAACACTTCTGGCATCAGATGTGTGGGTTTCCCACATCAAACAATTCTTCAATCACAGCTGGGTGTCCTACAATTTAATTCAATTCTGAGAGTAACCAGAGTTAGCAAAGACCCCACAGGTTAAGGGCTCATTCCCATAAGACTGCCCCCACTTCAGACATCAGTCACAAGTGGTGTGTCCCCAGGTACCTGCAACTTCTGTTTGACTTGGCTACAAACTGAAGGTCCAGATGACCTCCTCTGTGGATCCATCAGGGAAACACATTTATGTAATAAAGAATAGCCTATCTAATAAAAGAGTAATATGCAAATTGACCATCACTCCAACACAAATGGCCGCCCCCATGTGGACAGACGATGGCTGCTACAAGATGGCCAGCAGGGGAGGGCAGTTGGGGCAATCAGGCCAGCAGGGGAGCAGTTAGGCATCGATCAGGCTAGCTGGGGAGTGGTTAGGGGCAATCAGGCAGGCAGACAGGTGAGTGGTTGGGAGCCAGCAGTCCTGGATTGTGAGAGGATGTCCGACTGCCCGTTTAGGCCCGATCTCAGTGGGACCGGGCCTAAACGGGCAGTCGGACATCCCTTGAGGGGTCCCAGATTGGAGAGGGTGCAGGCTGGGCTGAGGGACACACCGCCCCCATGAACAAATTTCATGCACTGGGCCTCTAGTAGATGTATAACCTAATGAAGAGATGTGATGAAGAAATGATAAAGAATATAGTTGTAACCAGATGAAGAGATGCATAGGGTGAGGTCTGGAAAGGTCCTGAACCTGGAGTTGGCATGTGCCACCTTCCTGGCACACAGAAGTGTTCACCAACGCAGAAGCAATCTAAACCCAATAGTTCTGTGTGTGTGTGTGTATGTGTGTGTATGTGTCTGTGTCTCTGTGTGTGTCTGTGTGTGTGTGTGTCTCTCTCTGTGTGTGTCTGTGTGTGTCTGTGTGAGTGTGTCTGTCTCTGTGTGTGTGTGTCTGTGTGTGTCTCTGTGTGTGTGTGTGTCTCTGTGTGTGTGTCTGTGTGTGTGTTTATGGAGGCTTCATCACCGGTCATTAACTCAGTGTCCAGCCCCTCTCCTCTTCCCAGAGGATGGTGCTGAAAGCTTCAAGCTTCTAATCAGAGCTTATTCTTTCTGGTGACCGGCCCACATCCTGAAATTGTCCAAAAGCCCACCAATTTGTGCCTCATTAGAACAAAAGATCCTCCTATCACCCAGGAAATTCCAAGGGATTTAGGAGTTCTGTGCAGGAACTGGGGGAAGAGACCAATATATATGTTTCCTATTATTTTACAAAGGTGCATATGGTTCTTGCTGATCTGGCCTCCACCTGCCATTTCAGCCACTTGTTTTATACCTTGATGTCCTCACACTGGCCATCCCTTCTTCTTAAGGTAACCAAGCCCCTAACCCCCACTTATTGCTCCCCCTTCTCTAGTTGTAAACACTGATCATCTTTCAAGATTCCCCCAACGTTACTTTCTCTTCGAAGCTTCCTGATTTCTAGGCATTTTCTGAAGTAAACATGGTTAGAGCACTCATCACACAGGATTATAATTAATTATTTATTCCTCTTTCTTCCCTTCTTAACCAGGGATCTTCTTGAAGACATATCTTGAAGATCCTCCTGAAACTATGTAGCATTATAGAAATACAAAGAAATACTAACAAGAGAAAGATGCCCACTATCTGACACCCTCCTACCGTGCAGGAATGAGCTTACTCCTTTCACAGGCAGGATGCTCAGGCACATAATGCAGGACAATGACAATGCTAGCAGGAAGCAGATTTCTTCCTCCCCATTTACCTGCCTGATGAAGAGGTAGGCACACAATTTCCCCAAGGCAGAAAGAGTGCCCTTAACTAATGTCATTCAATAGCAGTGATTTGGTTAGCTGAATAAGCACAGAACCTAAAGAATGCAGACTTAAGGAACGGTTTAATTTGTGGTACTAAGATATTTTATCAGGCGGCATGTAGTTAAGTGCCCTTAAACACAATCACGTAGCATTTTGTTTGGTCATCCCCATGTGGGAGCGCTCGAAGAGCCAGGAGAGAAAAGAAGCGTCCTCAGGGATTTTTTCCTTACAGTACAATTTTTACAAAAAGCTGAGTGTACAACTTGCAAAATAATAAGCTTGGGTGATAACACAAGCTTCAGCTACAATTATCCCAAAGAACAAGTCTGCTGCTCAAGCTTCTAACTTATCCTTGTGACTACAGAACAGTCCAAAATGTCACATTAGAGTTAAAGTGACTGCAGCCAATTAGGTAATTTCCACCAAATTGGGTCCATTAATATTTGGACATTATCTTGAGGGAGAAATAGGACTCCCCAGGTGCAATGTGGCTTGTGAAATATTAGTTTTGGACCATCACAAATCAAGATCCAAGGGTATGTTAAATTATTCAGCATTCTTGACCTCATTATTAAGTGACTTCATATAGGCTTTTGCTCATATTCATATAATCTTCGGCTCCAAGGAGCTTCATTGTGTTTCCTTCCCACAGCCATTTCCCTATTTCATCTTCTGTTTGCCTTCTCCACTCTTTATGTATTACAGATTTAGTGTATATCTCTTTTTATTTTTTCATCCTACTTAATTTTATAATTTAAAGGGCAAGGCATATGGTTTTGGTCGAGGAACACACAATAAGAACACTTGCTAATACAATGACACATATCAGAAATATGACTATTAGTTAGAATAGTTTGGTTCCTATACCTCTCTTTACTAGCACACAACCTCAGGTAATACAAAAATTTCCCAGCTTAACATCTTGCTTGGCCCACTGTGTGGAACAGAGAGCTGTGATTTGCAACATGTGGCTTTTTAAACGAGTCAGAACTTAACACCAAGTCTGCTTCTGGAAGTACTAGTATTCTAAAATGATAGCAATAATATTACTTTCTAAAATAAGGGGGGAAAGACAGAAAAACACCCCAGGAAGATCATGTACCAAAGATGTTCGTTAATTTCATTTTGTTCCAAAGATGCGTAGAACAATGGTTAGTTAATACTGACAGGCTAGTTAACACAACCAATAAATGTATTGGATTGTTAAAACTTTCAACCGGTGCTACTATAGGTTCTAGAGAACTTTAGCTAATGGCACAATTATCCTAAGAATATTAGCAGCAGATACCATTGAAATTTACGAGTTAAAATGCATCATTGTGGCAAAGCAATGGAATGGATCTAGAATGTGAACATCACGTCACCGAATTAGTGAACACCTGCCCCCCAAAAAGCTCTTACGATGGTGTTCCTTATGAGAGTAACAAAAGAAATTGGGGTAACATTAAGTACGGTTCTTCTTTCATATTGGTGTGTTTTTTCTATAATGTTGCTCAGTATTCAAATCATAACAAATACTTTGAAAGCAGAGACACAGAACTCCATTTCATCACACCCCAACTGGATGGGACCAGAGCAGGTGCATTCACTTTAAAGTGTTCATCCTTATAAATCAACTTCTGATTCACTCCAGAGTGAAGCTGTCAGCCCTTAGGTGCCCACTGACATTGAGAATTTTTAGCCACCTAAACCCAGACATTAAAATAATGTTTGAATTAGTTTAATCGAAGTGGCCTAGATTCTCATGCTCCCCAGGACACTGCTGTATCTCTTCAATGTGTGAGATGCATGGGAGGGCTGCACCTGGGCCAGGCTCACCGGAGTGCAGGGCAGGAAGGAGAATTTAGGTCAATTACCTTTTGAAGTGTGATCCCTTTAAATAGCTACTCAAGGCAGCATCTTGCTAACTGAGCTGTATATAATAAAAGTGACCTGTGCTGTTTCTTTAAATACAATGTTTTGGTTAAAAGTGATCCAAGTATTACATTTGTGCAAGAAAAAACAAAGATCAAGAGAAGTTTCAGCCATGTTCTTTCTGGAATCTACTAGGAAGGATTAGGTAGGTGGTTTACCTCTCTGAAAGCCTGGGCTTGAAAGTAGGTATCTTCATTTCAGAAAGTAGGTGCCTCTCCAAGCTGGGCCTTTGCTTTCTCCATCTGTAAGTTGAGAAGACAAGTAGTTTAGATGTCACCTCCAGACCTTTAGTAAATATATTAAGAAAAATTTTAAAAATGAAGTAGATGAATGTATAGGGGGTGGGATATAGAGGCAGAGAGCATTTGCTATGGATCCATTCTCCAAAGTTAAAAAAAATGTATTTTGTGTGTAGGTGTGTGTTTTCATTAGATTTTTTGACTTTTAAAATATATTTTTATTGATTTCAGAGAGGAAGGGAGAGGGAGAGAGAGATAGCAACATCAGTGTGAGAGAGAACCATTGATTGGATGCCTCTTGCATGTCCCACACTGGGGATTGAGCCTACAACCCGGGCATGTGCCCTGACCAGGAATCGAACTGTGACCTCCTACTTCATAGGCTGACACTCAACCACTGAGCCACACCAGCCGGGCTCCTTAGCTCTTGAAGAAGAAACAATTGCATAAATAAATTATGTGGTTAAAAAATTAAAAAAATATATATATATTTAGTGAAGAAAAATATGACAGTGCCTTTTAATTAATAAAATGATTTTATTGCTTTTACTATCATGGCAGGGCTTTAAAAAAACAAATATATCCAAAGCAACGTAATAAATATAGGGATGAATATATCTTTTAAAGATCTTTTTAAAAAAAGATGCAAAATTTCTAAACATTACCGAGAAAATTAATTGCTCTTACAGTTATAAAAATAATACACATTGATGGTAGAAAATTTGAATGCTATGGCGACATATACAGAAAATAAAAATTCCCATGAATTTTACTATTCAGAAATAACAACTTACTGAATTTCCTTCCAGTATATATGCATGCACACAAACACATGTGTGTACACACACACACTGAAAAAAGTTCTGAGGAAAATAGGTAGCTGCACCTCATTCATTCATTCATTCATTCAACTGGTTACAAGGCTTTGTATCCACCTACTTTCTCTTATTATATATTGAGTCAGCTAAAACATTTTTTTTAATAAAGTGAAAAAAGTAAGTTTCTTTCAGACCTACAAAGAACTATACCAGTGAAATGATAAGAACCTATTTTCTGTCATTGCCTTTCTTTCATCAGGCATATGGGTTATTAGAAAGTTAAGATGGCTTTCAAAGATGAATTAGTTACACGTTGAATTTCAACAAATATCCAACGGTGAGAGCAAAGCACACAATCCATTAAGCCCTGTGACTGTTCATTATGAAATTCTGAATTTTTAACCACCTAGAAATGTAATCCAAGCTCAGATTTATTTTTCATCCCTCAAGACTGCAAATGCTAAATAGAGCACGGGCCTCCTCTTAGGGCCTCGGTGATGACAAGTGGGCAGAGGAGGAAAGTGCCCTGTCCTTCCCCTGGGTCTGTAGTCGCCATACTTGCCCAGCACCATGTCTCACTCACCAAGGTTGCTGGTGGCTAGCAGAGAGAGCTATCGCTCTCTTTCCTGGGAAACTAGAAGGATGGCAGATCTAGCCCTTTGCACACCCCCCGCCCCCTCGACCCCCCGTTCACATACCCCAGGTCATATTCCCATAAACACAAGCCAAACAGTTGAGGGAAGGATTTGTTCTCCATGCATGGATGGGTGAAACGAGAGAAAATGGGGAGCAGAAGGAGAGATTTAGATTAAAAGTATTTTAAAATATCCCTGGATGTCCATTTCAAGGCCATTGAGGAAAAAGCAAGGCTTTGGGATCATTAATCTTTTCTTTATTCATCAACAAATACTTAATGAGATCCTACTATATTCTAGGCACAAGTCTAGTTGCCGAGGAAGCATTAAAGAACAAAACAGACAAAAATCAAGAGAAGCCTCACTTAGAAGTTGACATTTAAATCAAAAAGTGAGAAGATTAGAAAATGAGTCATCTAGCTATGAGAGGAGGGCATTACAGGCTGAAGGAAAAGCCAGTATCAAGGCCCTACAGTGGGAGCAGGCCTGCAGGGTTGGAAGAGAGAGAGAGAGAGAGAGAGAGAGAGAGAGAGAGAGAGAGAGAGAGAGAGAGAGAGAGAGAAATGAGATTCAAAATCTAAGGTGTAAGGAAGAATGTGAATGTATGACCTTTAGCATTATAAGGATTTTAGTTTTCTATTTTGATTTGAATCCTTATACCACCATTTGTCAAGGTCACAGGTTGGCTGAGTGACTCTGAACTTCTCCTTGTCTGTAAAATGGAAATCTCATTGACTGTACACAGGTATTTTGAAGGTTATAATGAAACTAAAGGCCCTGTGCATGAAACTTCACCAACCCCCTGCCGGCCTGATCGCCCCATGCAGCCTGGTGCTCAATTGTTTGGTTGTTCCTCACTACCCCTCTGCCGGCCTGGTCGCCCCATGCAGCCTGGTGCTCAATTGTTTGGTCGTTCCTCACTACCCCTCTGCCGGCCTGGTCGCCCCATGCAGCCTGGTGCTCAATTGTTTGGTTGTTCCTCACTACCCCCCTGCCGGCCTGGTCGCCCCATGCAGCCTGGTGCTCAATTGTTTGGTCGTTCCTCACTACCCCCCTGCCGGCCTGGTCGCCCCATGCAGCCTGGTGCTCAATTGTTTGGTTGTTCCTCACTACCCCTCTGCCGGCCTGGTCGCCCCATGCAGCCTGGTGCTCAATTGTTTGGTCGTTCCTCACTAACCCCCCTGCCAGCCTCGTTGTCCCACTCAGCCTGTTCGGTCATCCATTCGGTTGCGATGGCCCCTGGCTCTTTATATATATATATAGATAGATACCACCTGGCCAGCATGGCTCAGTGATTGAGCATCAACCAAGAGGTCACGGTTCGATTTCCGGTCAGGGCATAGGCCCGGGTTTTGGGCTCAATCCTCAGTGGGGTCATATACAAGGCAGCCAATCAATGATTCTCTCATCATTAATGTTTCTGTCTCTCTCTCCCTCTTCCTTTTTCTCCGAAATCAATAAAAATATATTAAAAAAAATGAAATACCAAGTATAATATCTGGCATGTGGTATGTTTGTAACAAATCTTGGTTCCTTTATTCCTCTGGAATCTACATCTATTTTATAAATGTATACATAAACATAAAAGTGTGATGTACTTGACCAATAGTTACCCAGAGGTAGGAATCCAGGTAGACTTTAACTTTGTAAATAAATAATAATTTCCTCCCTCACCCTCCAGAAAAAGAAAAGACACACTATCACCGACACAAACTAATGGCTTTGGAAGGTAGGTAGGGGATTCAAGTTGATCAAGGAACTAAATCTGGAATGTATCAGCCATTAGTGAGGACTGATATATACAGGTAAATCTCATTATTTCCCATTTTCATTGAGTGTCTCTTTCAGGGTTAGAAAAAATGATAGCTGTCCTTCTGAGGGACATCTGAACATTCAAACAATAGCAGATAAAATGGTCAGCTTGCAAACTTTTGAAAACACCACTGCCTGCAGGGTTTAAAGGGCCTCTCTGCGATATCAGTGTGCTCTGCGTTAACTTTTTTTTGTATGATGGTGGCAGTTTTTCTCTTATGTGGTGGTATCATTAGAGTTTCACTTCAGTTCACAGAAATCATTTTCAGCTAAGTTTCCACTCGAACTCAGTTGCTATAAAGTGGAACATCAGTGGGAAGGCAATTAGTTATCTAGTTATGATGACTTTACTTACTTAGTACATTTTTAGCAGAAGGAAAAATGACAAAAACCTAAAATAATTCCATAGAAATATACAAGTGACTTCTTCTATCCGCAGATCATTAGCACAGTGGACAGGATTTCAAAAAAGGCATCAACACCTATAACATCCTCTCCTGTTGTATTATTATTCAGTTGTCAAGAGTGAATAGGGCTACGAGGGACCATGTTACTAAAAGTTAGAGTGTTTAGTGTTGGAAGGCCTGAGACTATGGGAAGAACTGAAGATGGATGCCTCTTTGTAGGTCAACAGCAACTGCACCTAAGTTATAGCCAGGACAATTAGCTGTATCACCTTTGAATATTCTGCTGGTCAAAGGCACTTTTAGGAGCTTAAAAATTATTTGCCAAAGAACTCTCTAGGGGAACACTAGTGTCTGTTTGCTTGGTATGAACACTATCATATAAAGTTTGCTTTTAAGCACTAAAGCATTATTTGGTCGCTACCCTCTGGACTTAATTTGGGAGTTTACAAAAAGTCTGGATTAGAAAAAAAATCATTTCCATTTCCTTCTAACTTGTCCTATTACAAATCAAAGTTCAATACACACACACACACACAGTCCATTTTACCTTCTTCCAAATTATCTATAATAATCCTATAAAATAAAAGCATAATATGCAAATCGACCAAACAGCGGAACGACTGGTCGTTATGACACACACTGACCATGAGGGGGCAGATGCTCAATGCAGGAGCTGCCCACTGGTGGTCATTGCACTCCACAGGGGGAGCACCACTCAGCCAGAAGCTGGGCTCATGGCTGGTGAGCACAGTGGCGGTGGCGGGAACCTCTCCTGCCTCCGCTGAAGGTGGGAGGTAAGGAGCGAGGTGTCCCGGACTGTGAGAGGGATGTCTGCCTGCCAGCTTACAGATATCCCCTGAGGGGTCCCAGACTGAGAGAGGGCACAGGCTGGGCTGAGGGGGACCTCCCCCCGGCCAGTGCATGAATCCCATGCACCAGGCCTCTAGTAAAAGCATAATATGCTAATTAGACCAGACGTCCTTCCTTCTGGACAAAGTTGCAGCAGGCAGGGGCTGTGGCAGAGGCACCTGGCTGCGGTGGCAGCAGTAGGCAGGGGGCAGGGGCCAAGGCTCTTGCACGAATTTCGTGTATTGGACATCTAGCGCATATATATATATATATGTGTGTGTGTGTATATATATATATATATATATATATATGTATATGTGTGTATATATATATATATATATATATATATATATATATATATATGAAGTATGACTTTAAAAACCACACACACCATAATTTATAGCTCCAAATGAGAATTGGCCTTTCTGAAGTCATCTAAAGAGATAATTCATCTTTTTTTCACAGATACAGGTAAAAAATTT